TTTTCTACTTTGTTTTAGAATATGCCATTAGGAAGGTCCAGGAAAACCAGGTGGGACTGAAATAAAACGGGACAAATCAGCTGTTGCTCTATGCCGATGATGTGAATCTACTGGGTGATAAAGAAGATACCATAAAGAAAAAGACACAAACTTTAATTGACACAAGTAAAGAGGTTGGTCTAGAAGTAAACAGTGAGAAAACTAGGTATATGTTTTTGTCTGATCACCAAAATGCAGGGCAAAATCATGATATAAAGAGAGGAAACGGATGTTTTGAAAATGTGGCACAATTCAGATATTTGAGAACAATGATAACAGATCGAAACCTGATTCAGGAGGAAATTAAGAGGAGATTGAACTTGGGTAATGCTTGCTATGATTCAGTCCAGAACCTTTTGTCTTCTCACCTGCTGTCCAAAAACATAAAAATTAGAATATACAAAACTATAATTTTGCCTGTGGTTCTGTCTGGGTGTAAAACTTGGTCTCTGATTTTAAGGGAGGAACATAGACAGAGGGTGTTTGAGAACAGTGTGTTGAGAATATTTGGACCGAAGAGAGATGAAGTGACAGGAGGTTGGAGAAAACAGTATAATGAGGAGCTTCAAACTTGTACACTTCTCCAAGTATAATTAGAATGATCAAGTCAAGGAGAATGAGGTGGGCAGGGCATGTAGCACGAATGGGGGAGACGAGGAATGCATATAGAATATTGGTGGGAAAGCCAGAATGAAAGAGACCACTTGGAAGACCAAGGTGAAGGTGGGGGGAAAAATATTAAAATGGATCTTAGAAAGATAGGATGGGATGATATGGATTGCATTGATCTGGCTCATGATAGGGACCAGTAGAGGGCTCTTGTGAACATGGTAATGAACATTCAAGTACCATAGAATGCTGCGAAATTCTTGAGTAGCTGCAGAATTGGCAGCTCCTCCAGAAGAGCTCTGCTCCATGAGTAAGTAAGTGAGTAAGTAATAAAAATTATAGTCATATTTCATGCTGTAGGGAAGCAGTTTCTGGCATTATTGTTTGTGCTCATGGATGCAGAACAGTCACAGAAGTGTTGTCAAGAATGATTACTAATATCACTGTATGGTTAAGTATGAGGGTCATACTGAAAGTCATGAGTAACAATTTTTTGTAAAGTAGCATGCGTTATTATTGACAAACCAAATGCACCACCTCAATCTACAGACCTTTCTTTATTTTTCCACATAATCACCACTTCTTTGTACACATTTCTCTCAGTGTTCTGGGAGTCTGAAAATTCCTCTTCTGTAAAATTCCATTCCAGTCTTCCGAAGACACTGACGCAATGCTTTCTGAATTGCCTCCCTTGTCTCAAAACGTCCATGCAGCTGATCCTTCACAGATGCGAAAAGATGGTAGTCAGAGGGTGCCAGATCATGGCTATAGGAGGGGTGTGGAAGAACTTCCCACTCCATCTTTGCAATTGCTTCCAATGTGAGGCGAGTGTTGTCATGCAAGATGATGTTTTGTCCCAGATGTTTATCGTGCAATGCATGACGGAGCGTGTGCAGCATCTGGACATAATGAGCAACATTGATGGTTTGTCCAGGTTCCAGGAATTTGGCCAGAATAAACCCCTCTGCATCCCAGAAGACTGTGCCCATCACCTTCGCAGCTGATGGCACTGTCTTTGCCTTCTTTTTTGATGAAGAATGCAAATGGTGCCATTCCATACTCTGCCATTTTGTTTCAGGCTTGAAATGGTGAAACCAGCTTTCATCACTTGTCACAATACAGAGCAAAAAACATCGCCTTCATATCGATATCTCTGCAGAGGTTCTGAGGTGATGGCTTTTTGCTGACCTTTGTGGTCTTTGGTCAATAACCGCGGGACCCAACAAGCACAAAGTTTCGTATAGCCCAAGCTTTCAGTCATCTCCTGCACTGCACTGTGCCCTATTCCAAGTTTTTGAGCTATTGTGTCCACAGTCACACACCTGTCTTCTTGAATGATCTCATCCACTCTTTCCTTGTTGCGTTGAGATCAGGCTGTTCGAGGAAGACCGCTCCGAGGCTCATCTTCGATGCTGGTGCTCCCGTCTTTAAAATGTTTCACCCATCTTCGAACACTGCTCGCACCCATGCACACACTTCCATAAGCACGCTGAAGTCTCTGTTGAATTTCTGTAGCAGGGATTTCCTCTTTCACAAGAAATTCGATGACAGCACACAGGCTAAACGACATATCATTGTCGGCCATTTTGTTAGGAGTGATACTGGTCATGTGATGCAAGCTATTGACGTCACAAGACACCCAAGGTTAACACAACAACTGGTTCCACCTACCACCATACTCTCTTTCGTCTGCTGTTCCCAGGTTGCATGCAAAAAAAAGTTGCTCATGACTTTCGGTATGACCTACGTACAATGCAAGAAACTAGTGGTTTCCAAATTTAATATAGATGTAACAATAAGAGTTTCTACCAACTATTACTGTTCCTGTTTAACTTTCAACTCTCCAACCATCACAAATGGGACACATGTTAATATAGCACTTCTTGCCCAAAATTACTTTATTACCACAACCTTCTGAAGTTTTGCTACTTCCTCCTAGGGCGTTTTGATGAGAATGAAGGTGTAATCTTTGAAAGAAGAGTTCAAATGAACATCCATCTGCAGTTCAAAAAACAAATGTAAAGTCTTAAAGTACTTTTTTGTGCCAATAATGAAGTAAATGCACACCTGATAGCAGTTACAAGACTAAGCAGATCAAGATTAATGGGTAATGTTGTGATATGCCCATTTCCTCTTTTGTGGGTGCTACAGTCCATGATGAACCTTGAACTCTTTTGCAATTGCTTGATATTGGTTTCGATCCTTTGAATTTCTAATGCTCACTGCCTCCAAATCTTCAACTGAATCCAGCCACCTGGTAGCAGGTCTGCTTTAATCATTTTATTTCAATAGTGATGTTATTATATTTTGCTACAGGAACTCCCAAGGTATTTGAATTCTCTCACCTTTTCAAATTCCTGGTCATCCACTTTAAGCATTCTTGAATTAGATGGCCTTTTTGTTACTTCCATGCATTTAGTGGGGACATGCAGGAGCACAGTTGACTGGTGCACTATGCTACAAGCTGGAAGGTTGTGGGCTCAATTCGTGATGAGATGAATGGATTTTTTAATTGACCTAATCCTTCAAGATGCAATATGGCCCTGGGATAAACTCAGCTTCTGACACAAATGAGTACTAGGAATCTTCCTGGGAGTAAAGGGTGGCCAGCTGGTGCATAACACTAACAACTTCACTGCCATCTGTGAGCTGATTGTCTAGAAATGTGAGAGGCTCAACATGTCACAATCCTATGGGCCTCCATGGCCTGTTACAGGGATAGCTTTACCTTTTTACATGTACATATTTTATGCAGAAAGTGAGCGCTGATGGGATATTAAAAAAACAAGAATTTCTTTCAATACCATTTATATTGTCATTTGATATACATACTGTATACTAATTTTCAACTTAATTTCCACCACTATTGAAGCACCTGTCGTAGTGGGGCACTAGTTTTTGTATCCCTGATGCTGCCTGTGATGCAAATCACTTCTTAACGGCTTCTTTGAACTCACTGTTGTCATGGAACTGCCAGCCACTACGGAAAGTTTTCAGATGCAGGAACAGATGAAAATCACTTGATACTAAATCCAGGTTTTAGGTTCCCAGCCACATGTCGCGATGAGATCTTGCGTTGAGACCCATGTCTCATCCCCTGTGACTATGCAGCTCTAGAAGTCATGGCCTTACTCACTGTATCGTGTCAGAAAGGTCAACACACTGGCCTACCATTTCATTTTGTGTTCCTTCATAAGCACTTTCAGCATACAGTGTGAACACAATTTCCAAAAATGAAGTTTATCAGACACAATTTTGTAAAGTGACCGTGAAATTTGTGGAAAATGCAGGGAAATTCACAAAATGGTGAACGTTTGTTCTCTTAAATCTTCTCTTCCACTACACATACCAAATCTTCATTAACCATGGATGCTCGGCAACTTCGCGGATCATCATGCTCATTTTCACATCCTTCCTTAAAGTGTCTCACCCTTCTCCTTACCATTGAATCACTCATTGCATGTTCTCCATATACCTCACAAAGCTGATGATGAATGTCAGCTGGCTTCATGTCTTTTGCATTCAAGAAAAGGATTACAGACTGCATTTCATATGCGGCAGGCTTCTCAATTTTCTTGAACATTGTAAACACACAGGAGAACGCATTAACGCCATTCGATTGTCTGTAAATGGCATCTGTGCCTTCCAAAAGGACCAACAAACTCTGCATGCATGTGCATCAAATTGACCACAGCACTGCAGTGGCAATATTTGCAAATGGAACTTATTTGGTGGATATGCCTCGTATTTAGTATTTTTGCTGATTGACTGTCCAGTTTCCTTTGTTGCTTTACTGAGGTTCGTAAATGCTTCTTTCAACACACCTGTGGTACTCTCAACTAAAACAATGTGATCTGCATATGCAAGTATCTGGATTGTTTTGTTATGTATAGTTCCTTTAGTTCCAATCTCCAAATCTCAGACCACCTTTTCTGTTGCTGTGTTAAATAAAATACATGACAAGGCACCTTAGAAGGCCTTAGAACCACTTATGTTCCATATAGTTCTGATAGGTTATTCTGCACTTTAACTGTATATTTTACATGTTCCAAAATTGTTCTTACCAATCCAATTAACTTCTGGGGTATTTTGAACTCTTTCATATCCTTGAGTAATTTCTCTCTGTTTTTGGTGTCATAAGAAATTTTGATATCTATGAAATGGTGAAATGTGCTGACTCCATATTCCAGTGTATTTTCCAGAATCTGCCTCATTGACTGTATCTGATCCATTGTTGATTTACCTACTCAGAAGCCACACTGATAGTTACCTACTACTTTCCACATATGGTTGTAGCTGTTCATATAGAATATAGATAGATAACAGATATAAAATTGTCAGCAAAATTTTCCTTTAACTCTTATGACAAAAGTGCCACTGACCTGCACATACAATGCAACTGAAATATATTAGAGTGAAGTAGTAAGCTGAAAATATGTGCTGGAGATGAGAATAAACCAAAACACAGTGCATAAAATATTATATTTAAAATAAAGAAAATACCAAAATTTTACAGATGTCATTACTGCTGTTGCATTATTCATATATCACATTCAAAGAGTATCCTCTGATACAACAGTAGCTGATCACGCAAATCCTAAAAATGTTTCTGAATTATTGGGTACTCTTTGAATGGAATGACACCAAAAACTTGGCACTTCTGTCCACTATCACCAAAGGTCAGGCATCTTACTCTTTAGCTAAGTTCACGTTGGAGGGGTCAGCTCCTATAGGGATGCCATATTTATGTAATGTCTGCACTAGAATCTCTTGGACTTCCTTACTATAGCTGTCGAAGTCAAACACGTTGCGCACCGCACTTGCTAAGCTCTCATTAGGAAATTCCTGCAACAAAACATCAGTTATATCAGTTGATAATAAAATTAATTTTAGTAAAATTATTTTATTAAATGCAAAGATGCATATTATATTAAGGTTTAACAATAATTTTTGAAAAGAACTTGTGATGCCTACTTTTCTTTCATTGCTTTCATCCAGAAAGGAGGCAGCATAAATCATAATTACATAATTTTGTAATCTCTCTTGGATCATAATTTCTGGCACAGAAGATTTATGCTGCCATAGAGTTCAAAGTTTGGTGCCATCTCCATTTTCATAATTTTTAACATAAAAATGTTTTTATATGAAAACTGTAGGTATGGTAACGATCTAAAATCATGTCTCTTTATTCAGCTACTATTCATGTACTTGTCAAATTGGCCCATTCTTTGGTGTACATTTCTCCACTTCCTCCATTGCCTTTCAATGCAAGGATAATACTGTAGTATCTGTAGCTTAATCTTATAAAACCAAACATCATGGTTGAGTAGAGAGAACTTCTGCTTCATATTTGGGAAGTTACGGGCTCAAATCTTAGGCTGAGAAGTTGTGTGGTTTTTCTAAGTCCCTCCAGGCAAATGCCAAGATTGTAATTGAAATTATGCCCAGAAGACTTCTATCCACAACTCATTATTCATTACCATTAGATGCTATGCAGTTTGAGCTACTTACAGTGTATAGCCAGGACAGCTCAATGGTTATAGTATCTATGCTATGGGCTACATAACAGAGGAACCTCAGTTTTATTCCTGGCAGGAGAAAGTGCATTTCTCTTCTCCAAAGCACCCTGACTGACTTTGAGAATTTCTTCACCTGAGGGTAAGGCATCTTGGCCAAGAATCTGTCCACTCATTTCCATCTAGTGCAGACATTATGATTTCAAGGAAGCATACCTTCAATCCCCATATATCCTCATGGCATGGTACTTAATTAACCATAGGAACAACCTTACATTTAACCTACTGACATCGTAATTAAAGTATTTAATCTGACAAGTTAGAGACTAGCAAGGAACAATCATGAACGCCAACCTGAAGGTGTTTGACAATGTTGACAACCTCCCTTGTTGAGTATGGATACTGGACCAGACCTCGATCTGCCATGTTCCGAAGTTCACTGAAGGCCTTCACTAATTTCACAATTACTTTACCAGGAACGTTAGGACCATACTGCTCTAGCAGTGAAAGTTCAGATTCTGGGCTTGGATTGTCTACAGCATGACAGCTGAATAAGTCTCCTAAAAACAGAATAGATAAACAATCTTCTGTTATCACTTACAACTGTGAGTTTACAGCCACCTCAAGAGCAATGGTTATTTGCATGTTTACATTGAAATTGGAATTATAAATTATATATTTATACCTTGAAGTAATTATTTCTCTGAACAGTATTACATGATTGGGTTTTGTAACAGATATGAGGTGTCCCCCTCTGAAGTCATCATCATCAGTAATCTGTCAAGACGACAGGTCCACAGTCTCTTCTAAAACAATTCCTCCACTTAATACGATCTAGAGCTTTCTCCTTCAAATGACAGTATCCTCTTCTGTCCCCAAGGTCATCCAGCATCTTCCTACGTCTTCTTCCTCGTCTTCTTGTCACGTCTATCCGCCCATCTATCTTTCCTTCGATAACTTCTTTTAGAAGGCAGTTTCTGCGTAAAACATGACCAATCCAATTAGCCTTCCGTTTTCTTATTTCGTGTAGGATATTCCTCTGCTCACTGACTCTAATTAACACTTCTTCATTTCTCACATAATCGGTCCAACTGATCTTCTCCATCCTTCTCCAACACCACATTTCGAAACTTTCCAGATGTTTCTGATCTACTGCCCTAAGTGTCCATGTTTCAGCCCCATACAGAGCTATGCTCCAAATGTAGCATTTCACTAGTTTCTTCCTCAAATTTAAGTCCAATTT